GAATTCTGGGAGTTGAAGTCCACACATCTTAAAGTGGCCAAGGTTGAGAAACACTGTCCTACGTACAGGGTTCTCCTCCGAGCCATATAGAGGACTGACATGAAGTCCACCAGAACAAAGCTACCCTAATTATCTGGAACATGGCCGGTTGGTTGTCAAAATGTAGAGATAATAACTTCATAAGTTTCATGACTACATTTGATGTCATCTTGCTACAAGAAAAATTGGCTTCTAATTGATTTGGCCCTGAATAGATATACAGCTTATTCCCTAAATGCTGTAGCTGGGGAAGGTAGAGGTCAACCTTAAATGTGGTTTAGCTATATTGATAATTATCAGCCTGAACGTAACAACTAATGAACTCCTGCGACTTAAATATTATGCCATGTCAGTAAAGATCCAGTCAGGACCGTGTACCTTAATAATAGTCAATGTATACCTTCCACAACTGAGAAGAAAATATGAGATCGGGGGCTTACAGAAGGAACTGGAATGCTATTTAAATAATTTACTTAATGCATACTCATTGGCATATATATTGATAGGGGGAGACTTAAATTCCAGGCTTGGTTCTGATGATGAAACTCTATATGCACAATACCATCTCTACCAACCCAGTTTAGAATCTGATTTCCTTCTGTGTACAAGGCAGTCAATGGATTTGAAAGCAAACTTTGCAGGCTTATGCCTGGCCCAAACAACTCATAGTCTCAATCTTTACATCCTGAATGGGTCCCTTAAGTCAGACCACCCTGCAGAGCTTACTGACTGGAATGGGTCCAAGAGTAGCTATGTAATTGCATCTGGAAATCTTCTACAGTTGCTTGATTATTTTAAAGCTTCCCCCCAAGTTGATAGTGATGATTTCCCACTCATTCTGTGCTTACTACCACTACTTCAATGGATCCCCATCAGATTAATGCACAAGCATAATGTTTTCCCAACTACAACGTCTTGCAGAGTAAAATGGACCATTCAACTCAGTAATTTAATCTCAGAACAACTAGCTACTACACACTTCTCACACATTCACTCCCTCTTTGCCACAACTGACTGAATCAGTGACCTTGTCCAGGAGCTTCAGAAACATCTATTTTGAAACAACACAAAGACCTATAAGCATCCTGGCTAATCATCAAAACCATGGTTTAACACAGACTGTATTAAGCCAAGAAACACTTAATAGCTAGCTATAATTCATATAAGGCAAATAATAGCAAAATTACAGCACAAGTTCTACTTAACCAGAAGCAATGCTACAAGAAATTAATTAGGCAAAAGAAAATGGAGGACATGAAAGCATTATGCACCTGTCTTAGTTAAAACAAATAACTTGTCCCTTTTTGGATGTATCGCTGCAGGACACCCTGGCCTATGCCAGCTGGATAACCTTATATTGCCAGATTTATGGGAAAACCACTACAGGGAACTCTACAAAGACAGCTCGGTGTCTAACAGATCCCCACATACTGACATGCCTTTTTGGCAACCAGTAAAACCCAAGGAGGTTATGGATCTAATTTCCCAGCTTAAATCAGGGAAGGTACCAGGTATGGATTCTATGACACCTCAGCTAATTAAAAATAATGCAGCATGGTAGGCCCCTATACTGGCATCACTTTTCACAGCAATTGATAAATCTGGTGGTATACCTAAGGACTGGAATCTAGCAATCATTGTGCCCATACATAAGAAAGGGAATAAGACTGACCCTGCCAATTATCGACCTTTAAGCCTCCTTAATATGAAAAGAAAACTTTATGCAAGACATCTTCAGTGGAAGCTCAGAGATCGGCTGGAACAGGAAGGACTATTGGTGGAGGAACAAGCTGGTTTTAGGGAAGGTCATTCAACAATTGACCAATGTCTTATGCTTCAACACCTTATTGAGAAATACATCTCTCAAAATACTGCTTCACTTTATGCAGCCTTTGTTGACCTTAAGGCAGCGTTTGATTCTATATCTCATATGGAACAAGCTGTATAATACCTCTATTGACTGCTGACTGTTGTTTCTTATTGGTGCATTACGTAAAGAAACAGCACTTAGAGTAAGACGCACTTCTCAAGAACACCTGACAGCACCCATTCCCACCACCAAGGGCATAAAGCAAGGCTGCATATTGGCACCTCTCTTGTTTAATCTTTATATAAATGATGTGGTAGATCAGCTGAAGGATCCAAATTCCCATCCACCCAAACTAAGCAGAGAGACATATTACTATACTGGTATACGTGGATGATGCAGTCATCTTTCCAAGGACACCCACTCATTAGACTCAAGAGAGCTTTGCACATCATTGTAAAGAGAACCAGCTGGAAATCAACTCTTCTAAAACTAAAACAATGGCATTCACAAATAGGCCCCAAAGTGCTCCTGGACTATTAGCAACCATGTCATTGAACAAGTGCAATGTTTTTGATCCGTGGGGGTGATCTTCCAGGCTCATGGAAATAAAAGGGCCCACGCTAACTATGCTTCACAAAATCCACATAGGAGCACTGCAGCTATTTTAAGATTTCATCCTTCCAGAGGAGGTCAATATATACCTGCAGCCACTAA